AAGAAATTACAACTACAAAGATCGGTTCTTGAAATATCAAATAACAAGAAACGAAAACTTAGAACCGAARGTGATGTTCTTGAGAGTAGCCAACACAAGATTATCACAAAGTCTAGAAAAGCACATAAGATGGTTAAGTGACTAAATGGTTTTTGTTGGTGAAAAAAGTAGTAAGTAAAATAAGTAAGTAAGTMTTTTTACAAAAGCCTAAAACTCCTTTATATAGGCTAAGAGAAGCTTCATGGTGGATGCCAACTAATAAGACAAAAGATCCCTCCAAGCTGGGCTTTGACTAAGCCCAAAGGTGTTGACCAAGCCTTCTCTTTGGATTAGCCCATCTTTTCTCGGCCCAAAAGATTTCCAGCACTCGGATAGGTCCTATAGGACCTTGCCACTCCTGGTCCTGTAGGACTGCCGCAAGACCGGGCCCAAAAATGCACAAAAACCTGCAAAAACAGGGAATTAACATTAGATATACTATATTACTACTAATATATGAAAAGGGCATAAAAAGACTCAATTAGGACACTAATGGGCAAATAAAACAAAGGAAAATGGTTAAGAAAATGATGTAATAAGGTTAATAAATTAACACTTATCAGTCCACCAATCATAATTTTTCATTTTGTTTATATTTTTGTAATTATAAGAGGTTGATTAATCATTTTTATTATGGAGGATGTTAATCATGGATATTATCATCTTTATTATTTTAATTTTAAAAAAATACATGAAACAGTTTCATTAAAATTTCATTAAGTAGTAGTTATGAAACAATTTCATAACCATATATGAAACAACTTCAACAAAAAAAGTATTATATGAAAAATTTCACACGATTAAACAATTTCATGAAAAAATTTCATAAGATTACGACGGATGAGAGTAGTTTTTACGGTTTTTACAAATTGGATATATATATATATATATAGAGAGAGAGAGAGAGAGAGAGAGAGAGAGAGAAGATGTTTACTTTGCAAACCATCTATTTCGTACAAACCTTACAAAATAATTACATCCATCCTATTTTTTAATGAAATGTCAAGATTGAAACAAACTAAATAAGTAAAGTAAAAAAAAATTATATTGGAGGCAGGGAAGGCAAAACAAGAGAAATATGTTCTATGAACCTATTTCATTGTAGTTGTTATACATATATGACCTATGAATCTGTTTCATTCCAGCTCTTATACATATGAACTTGTTTCATTACAAACTGTTATATATACCTATGAATATAAACTTGTTTCATTACAGCTGTTATACATATGAACCTAATGCAATCATATATGACCATGTTTCATTAAACAGTTTGAGACTGTTTCATTAGAGATGACCCCGTTTCATTGATGTTAGTAAGTATCTATTAAAAATTTACCTTAAATTTTTTTACCGGTTTCAAGATTATTATAAAAATAAATTGATTGATCAGTTACTAAAAAACCCTCTAATCTATATAATCTTTCCGATTTAGACACAATTAAAATATTATTAAAATTATCTATTATAAAGTCAAAAGATAATCATACCCTTATGAATTAAAAATAAAGTAAATTAAATGGAATTATGCTATTGGTTTATGCTAATTATACAAAAGAAAGTGATTTGTATTTTATTGTTCATCTCTCTTTCTCTCTCTTTCTCTCTCTCTCTCTCTCTCTCTCTATATATATATATATATATATATATATATAATTATTCTAAAAAATTAGTATATATAGTGTCAATCTAACACAAATCTTTTTTTTATTTATTATTGTTTCAATTTAAATTCTTGTATTTTTTCCATTGTATTATTTTTTTAACCTTTATATTGACAACTTTATATCGAACAAATATAATTTATCGTGATAAGCAAACTCTATTTATTTCTGTGCCATACAACGGGATGAACTCGCAAAGACTCGATCCAGGAACTCCCCTCGTAAAGTGGTCTCTTTTAAAAGACTTATTAGTCAAGCAGGGCAACTATCTGCATTTGCCCAAAATGACATCCATTTTTAGGTAATAGGTATACTCGAGAAAAAAAGTTTTGGGTTCAGAGCTTCCCTCTAATGAAATCCCAGTGGGAGTAGAAAAGGCCAAAGCAGGTTTCCCCTCAGAATGTTCACCTGTAACAAGAGAAAGATCCATGTCTATCACAAGGATATCCGTATACTATGACCCTAAGTCCGAGTTAGAAAGGCCTTTAATCCGCGGACCAAGAAGAAGCTGACAACTCACCCTGACTGTTGAAGGCTAGAGGAGCATTGCTAACAGGATCCTCTAAACGATCAAAAATTCTCTCAGGCTCAGAGCGGACAGCAAGACCCATATTCAAAACCCTCGATGACTACACACACACACGTGTATGTATGTGTGTGTGTGTATATATATATATATATATATATATATATATATATGAAAAGAGTACATGATGATGTAACTGTCAAATGTAAATATTGATAAGGACTTAACAATCATATCAAATCCAAAAAATAAAAGGATATTGGATTCATCAGATTGAGATGGGTTCAAATGACCGTAACCCAGATCCAAATCCAATCAAATACCTACAATTTGAAGATTTTTCAACCCGATTAGACATTGGTTGCTTTGGCTTGGGTTATTTCGTGTTGATTGGTCGAGTTTTTGAGCACCCCTACTTGTAACTACGTGTGAAATATATCATTATAATATATTTTATGTTTTTTTTTGATATTTTAATGATTTTTTTATATAATTATTGATGTTGAAAAAAATACATAAGTCCCATAAAAAGAATCTTATGTAGATTTTTAATTTAATGAGTTAGAAATGATGTGGCAAGATAAAAGGCATAAAAATAGGTTCTTATGAGAACCTCCATTGGAGATTCTCACCATTGACAACATACAAAAATAAAAATTTTGAAAATTTAGAATATTTTTTTTCCAACAGTTATGCTTAATGGCATGATAAAATAAAGATAAGGTAGAAATCTTTAAAACTCTATATAAGATAGATAAATAATATTTTAATTATTTCCTTCCCATAAAATATATTGAAATTAAATATGTAGAAGAGAAAAATAATATTTTGTTAAATATAATAAATATTTCATCATTAACTCTAAAATAGAATACAATTAAAATTAAATACATTTATTTAAATATTTCAACTCATTCTCCGTTTTTAAAAAAATTGT